AGACTTTAGCAATAGTCGATATTATTGATATCGGTCGATAATTTGCAATTTCTTTCTTATCACCTTTTTTGTGAATAGGTTTCACGATTGCTATTTTGAGTGATTTTGGTACAATCCCACTTTCGAAGGAATTATTGATTATGAATGCAAGAGGGGACGATATGTATTCTACAATAACCTTCAACGTTTCAGATTTCACATTATCTAACCCTGGAGATTTGCCATCCTTCAATGACATTATTGTTTCCTTGACTTCCTTTTCATTTGTTTGGCTCAAGAAGAAAGAATTATTAGATATTTCTCTCTTGTCTGTTTCTTTGTTAGGTTTATTTATTTTTTCAGCAAGATCTTTACCAATGTTTGTGAAATACGAAACCATTTCATTCGCGATTTGTGTCTCATCATTTGTTAATTTGTTGTCCCTTGTCCCTATCTCTTTTATATTTTGCTCCTTCCTCTCTGATGATGTCATTTCCTTAACGCACTTCCAAAGATGTTTGGTATTCGACCTGTTCTTATTTATTTCTGATGAATAATAAGTCGTCTTGGCTTTTCTGATCAACTCCGTAAGTTTATTTCTGTATTTTTTATAGTTTTCAGTATTCTCGGGAGAAGGACTTTTCCTCATTTTAACGTGCAACTCATTTTTTGTTCTAATTGAACTCAGTAACCCATTTGTAATCCATAGTTTCCGCTTGGTTTGGCTTCTTTTTATTTTTATTTTTGTAGTAGATTTATCTACTATTTCTTTGATTTTTCCCAAAAGTATTTGAACAGCTCTATCGATGCAGTGTTCAGAATACAAATCTAGCCAAGTTTCAGTTTGAATAAGGTTTATCATCTTTTTTTTATCAATAATCTGATTATATCTATTTAAGTTCACCGATTCACATTTATCAAGAATACTAATTTTCATGATAACTGGAAAATGATCTGTTACCGGGGTCTGAAGAATTATGGGATGTAATTTAAATTGTTCATTATAATTATCAACAAAAGGGTTGTTTCGATTTTTGATGAAGATATGATCTATACAACTTTTAGAGGAATTATCTATTCTAGTGTAACTATTTATTGCTGACTGAAATCCCTTTTCTGCCATTATATTGAGATATTCATGAGATTTTTCAGAGTTATCCAAGATGTTGATGTTTATGTCACCAACTATTATATTAATATCTCCGAAAGCATTCCAGGAGTTGAGAAATTCGTTGAGATCATTTATAAAGGTATCAATGCAAGTAGAAGGAGGTCTATAAATTGCTACTAATGTAACTTTTTTGTTGTACTTTCGAAATTGTATTTGAACGATTTTTATTGGACCTATATGGATTATGCAATGATCATAATATGAGATATCTTCTTTTAAGTAAATGATAACACCATCATTTTGGTTGTAGTCGCCTTCATTATATATTGAATTATAACCTGGTATTTTAACCAGCGATAAATCATCTATCTTCCAGCACTCTGAAAAAACAACACAATCAAAGTCATCACCAAGATCATGCAATAATAAAATGAATTCATCAATATTTTTCTTTGCACTCCTTATATTTGTATGTATTATGTTCATATATTGTTCGGACGAACTGGTAGTTATAAAATTTTTGTAATCCTCTATATTTTCTGCAATGATAGTGTCAATATTTTCGATTCTAAAGTCTCTGATATAATCATTCATGGTTCTTGATAGTTTATATTATACAATGGAAATCAATTATCGATGACCTTAATGAACTGATGATTTTTTTTTTTTTTATTAGTAAAATATATACATATAGGTTCTGATGCAGTAAAAATAGTTTGTGTATGAAGATAAAGAATTAATGAATACAAATAACCGAATTATTTCTCAGAGTTATTCCTTGGGCGACCTACTGATCTTAGGTTTGGTTTAGAAATTTTCACAGTAGGATTCAATGATGGCTCGACAAGTCTCTTCTCTCCTCTTCTTATTTCTACTAGTCCAGAGTGTCCTGGTATGGTGGTTTCAATCGAATCTTGCTTGGTAGGTTTGATTACTTCTTTTTGGGTTTTTTTTGGCGTCTTCTCCTTAATATATATATATAAACTAGGAAATATTGGGGAGTACTCTTCAAAGTTGGTCCAAGCTTTCGAAAATCTTTATTTTCATCATCAGGGAGTCTGTGAAGTGATTATTCATGAATATCATGTAGTTCAAGTGATGAAATCTTCGTGTACTTACAACTTTGTTGAGGATGGCTGACATGATGTTCATGTATAATTTCTTTATGTGTCTTGGTAACATAACATGAATCAGCCCAAAAGTCATCGATAAAAATACATTACATTGAATAACACAAGTTAAAACATTATAAAACTAAGTTAAAAGTCACATCTTCCACCACATGGTTTGAATTGTTGGCAGATGAGGTTATTGCAAATGGTGCCGGGAAATGAGTTTTTTTGAAAAATGAATATGACTGACATATGACAGTGTGTGAAGACAATTGTCATGTCAAAAATGCACAACAGAGGTACCAACAGACAATGCGTACCAACGTTGAAAACTGAAATTTGAAATGATTATGAGTTATCTAAAGACAGTAAAAAGGAATAAATCTCACTCAAATGATTAATATCTTTTTTTTAATTTATGCAATTATTGCATTGTGATATATAAGCCATCTCTAAGAAGGTTCTTTTCATCAGATGTTTTTCTCGTGATAGGATTTTAACAGCATCGAAATTCATATGGTGATCATATTTATTCACATGTTCTGCAAGTGCACATCTTTCTGGGTGCAGTCTGCAATCACTTCTATGTAAGATTATTTTGTTGGATAGTGACCTCGATGTTTGGCCTATATATTGGTTATTACAATCATGGCAAGGAATACTATAAATTACATTTTTCTACAAACGTCAAAAAATGACAAGGTTCGCGCATTGATAGCAAATTGCGGAGTGACACTTTTATTCAGTTTCCTATGTTACCATGATATCTTGCACCAAACAATGTGCGAAGTAAAACAGTGCGCGAAGTACCTACTTCGCGCATTGTTATGGAAAATATATGAGATATTTATATTTCAGCTAAATGGTCCTTAATCGAGAAAACATCCAGAAAATCATTTATTTCTGAATGTTCAACAATAACTTCGTTTTATCTCTTGGAGCGTACGAAAGGAAATGTCTTTTATGTTCGTGGTACATCGTGCCTACCTAGGGAGGATAGGGGAGGCCTTCTAAGCCAGTTCAATATCATTTTTTATATCAAACTAAGCATATTTTTACTTTAGAACTATATTTTTTGACGTTTGTAGAAAAAATTTTTTTAGCAAATCGAGCGCGAAATACTTTGGTCATCTCGATTATTTTTTCAACTCGGCTACGCTTCTTTAAAAAAATCAGATCACGATCACCAAAGTAGCATTTCGCGCTCTAGATACAAAAATAACTATTGTGTTAGATAACAAGGGCACTTTATCTTCGATTTTAGTGTGCAAGGATTTGATAGTTACTACTATTCTGTATGCTATTTTTAAGTTACCTGTTGATGGAAATAGTCTGGTCAGTTGTGGTGTTATCTCTCTTATATAGGGTAGTGAAGTGAAAATGATTGGCGCTGGAATTGTCTCAGGGATTGTTGCATTTTGTTGGGGATCTAGGTTGTCAATTGAATTGTCAGGTTGATCAATGGATGGTGCATTAAATAATATTGATTTTACTAATTTGACCGGATATGAGTTGTCAACGAAAAGTTGTGAAAGAATTTTCAAATTTTCATTATGGAAAGTATTATCTGAGATTCTCATCACTCTGTTTTTCATTTGCTTGACCAAGTTGACTTTCATAGATCTTTTGTGGTACGATTCGAAGTTCATGTACCTGCCAGAGCTGCAAGGTTTCCTGTACCAGTCAATCAGGATCTTGTTCTCGTTTGTGCGAATGAATTTTGTGTCGAGAAAAGGTACAGAACAGTTCGCATCTTCTTTTTCAATTGTAAATTGAATGTGTGGGTCATAGCTGTTGAATGTAAAAAGAACCTCATCAATACTCTCTTCTGGGATTGCTAAGATGATATCGTCCACATATTTTTTTTAAAATAAGGGTTTAACTGATAAAACAGGAATCACAGTATCTAACAGATCATCCATGACATAGGCTGCTAAAATTGGTCTTGAGGAACAAATTGTAGGGAGTAGGGATTCTCCATAATCAATTATAAAACGAGTTGTATCTGCTTAAACTATTTCACCCATTATTTCATGAAAAAAACAATAAATACATGTCATATTCCCATTTTCACTTGGTGCGTCACGCATCTCGTGCCGATTGGCTCTCGCACGGCTTGCTCGCAATATCTGATACGTACTGTTTATAAACGCTAGTTTCAAGTTGCAACTGTGAATAAAGCAGAGAGGTCAAGTTGAGGTGAGCGATGAAACTCGACTCGGACCCGAGAGGTTGAGTTTATGTTGATATAAAAATGGTTCTTCAAAATGTGATCATACAAAGTTGGTCTGAAATTCTTCGATACAAGTTAAAATTCAGTGCCTATGACGATTATGTCTGGAGTTTAGTGTTGAGTTATATTCATCCCTGTCCATGTCCATTACAGCTTGCGCATGTAAATAATGTTGTTTTATATTTTCATCAAACTAACAATGAGGAGGCGGAATACAAAATCGAGAACATATCATATTCACAAAGACGAAAACATCATGTTCTCGATTTTCAACACGAACATTTCAACCAACCAAAAACGTGTATCTTGAAATGGGACGATTATTATTTGAAATGTTAAATACAAAAGGTGCAGATTTCTTACTCGTCAAGAATTTTCAATGAGGTCTGAAATTGAATCGACATCATTATGGTACAAATTACCCGCAGCGCTCTGCGATTCGATCATGAAAAAATTTCAACTTATACAAAATTTTGTCATTTCATCGAAGTGATTATGCCTTGATAAATTTTTTATACCTGTTTATCAGGTATGAAGAAATATAATCATTTTTCAACTCTTGCAGACTGGTATGCAACAACACTACACTCTAGGCAATTTCACCCGCCAAAGATATGATGGCTGGCTAGGATCATACTCCCCCCAGACTTTCCGTGCGCAAACCACAGACGTCGACAGAACTCACATGTCTGCGCAATGCGATCTCGCTGGACTATTTCCTTCCGAAGGAGATCAAGTCTGGAACACAAATATTGCTTGGCAACCGATTCCAGTACACATTTCGGACGACGGAGTGATGAGCTCCTCCAAGTCGTGTCCGGCTTACACCGAAGAACTTGACAGGATTTTGTTGGATGGAGACTACTATCAGGAAATCAACAAAAACTATAACAGCGTTTACGAATACATCACCCTCAATAGTGGAAGCAAAATTGCGTCTGTAACAGATGCGACTCTAGTTCGTGATGGGCTGCTTATCGAGAGTGAATTTGGATATGCTCTACCTGACTGGACGAAGTCGGTCTATCCTGAGCCACTCAATACTCTAGGGGGTTATGCCTTCCAGTCTTATGCATATAACAAGAAATTAGCAAGACTAAGTGAGTATGACACATATACATATAAAAGAGGGGAAACATGACATATCATTCATAAAACACTATTTGTCTACAATCATATATACTTCCAAAGATTCAGATGAGTTAGAAATAGATGGCTTCGAGAAATGACAACGCTTCGAACTGTTCGTCAATGTTCACACTTTTGTTTTCCAGTCACCTAGGTGGAAAGAGATGACTTCAAGATATGACGACGCTGTAAACTGTGTGTCAATTTCCACACTTTTCTTCACCAGTCGCGTAGGTCAAGCGCGGGTCAAAACTTTTTACTACAATGACAACGCTATTATACCTATTAGAAACTGTTTGGGTCTAATCTTTCAATTTCAATGTCAAAAATTCATAGTACCTTAGGTACTTACCTAACTTTGATCCATCATTCAGTGGAATTTGAACAAAATACACTACGTTTGTTGCAATAATTCAGTTGAATAACTTACTGTGATTACTGCACCACTGGTGAAGTTTTGAGGAACATGTAACCTTAGTTACCGTCGAAATACCAATTTGGGGTTCGAATGGTGAACTTCTTCACAATCTGTGCACTGGCTGAACCATAATGGACATTTAATAATTGTTTTTATACAGTTTTATAACGAGAAAACACTGAAAATGATTGAAACACAAAAAGTCCTAAAATGGTAAATAACACAGCAAAACAATACTGTTACGTCGGATTTTGATATACGTGAATGACTTCAAGAAAAATCTGAGTCACTCAGAGTAATCACGCCAATACAGCGTTGCCACAGTTATTTCCATAATACATTTTGATTTCATGTAATGATGGAATAAGGAAAATTCGGAATATTTTGATAGCAGACTCCAAATAATTCAAAGAAGGAATGAACATACAGAATGAATATACAAAGAAGATGTAGATTATGTTTTCAATGTATGATTATTGCTTTCCTCGTTCTCAAACACAGTCGATGGATCTAGAGCAATCCGCAGAAATTTGAACTAGGACAAAGCCAAATACTCAAAGTGGAATTCGATGGTCACAAAGAGAGAGAAACTCAAAGTCATTACCACACTAGTTCGTACTTTCCTGGCTTTCTGCCACGCAGAACATTGGATTACATCCTCCCGAAATCTATGCAATAATTCGTATAAACGAATAAAATCGCAAGTGTTTTCTTCCTTAACGCTGAGCTGCGCTCAAGTGGTTCAGGAACGCGTGACTACCTGCAGACCGATTTTGAGCTGTTGGCTCTCATCAGTACAGGGCTGTCCCAGATAGCTTCTTGACCGCTATCTGGTGCGAACCTGACCCAACGTAAACGCATCTCAGCATTTATACCACATGAAATGGGATCTTGTTTTGGAGTGTTTCTTTCCTTGCCAGGTGGCATTCGGCGTCCGCGTTTCCATTTCGCGGACTTCGAACGCCTCATGTGGTATAAATGCTGAGAGGCGTTCACGTTGGGTCAGGTTCGCACCAGATAGCGGTCAAGAAGCTATCTGGGACACCCCTGTACTGATAGGAGTCAATAGCTCGAAACCGTTCTGCAGGTAGTCATGCGTTCCTAAACCACTCAAGCGCAGCTCAGCGTTTAGGAAGGAAACACTTGCGATTTCATTCGTCTATAAGAATTATTGCATAGATTTCGGGAGGATGTCATCCAATGTTCTGCGTGGCAGATAGCCAGGAAATTAGTTGTTTTTCTCTCGTAATCTAACATTTTCGTTCATTTTACGAACTAGTGTGGTAATGACTTTGAGTTTCTCTCTCTTTGAGACCATTGCATTCCACTTTGAGTATTTGGCTTTTTCCTAGATCCAACTGTATATGGTGATTGAATACAATTCATTTCTAGTCATAAAATAGTAAACGAAATCAACACATAAGAACACAACCGCCCTGTCATTGGAAAACCAAAAGACTAGTGTCGTGAATGAGCGAGCGTCGACCCGTCAGCGTCAACATTTCTCGTGGACTATAGACTTGTTACGATTCGTTGATCGCTTTGTATGATGTCACGATCGGCGAATAGCGAACGTTTAACATGACATCATAGTATAAGAACAAGAATTATGGTGATGGTTACAGAAAACCTATGTATTGGTTACTACAGAAACTGTATGAAGAAATTTTTGCGAAAAATCACCAAACAATATAGAAATGATCCATGGAGAATTCATCTCATTTCACTAACGTTTTCATAATGATAATTCCCATGGTTTTAGTGAAATGAATTATGGAAATTTCTACTACGTGCGGATTGATTTCAACTGTATGAGATGAAGTGAAAACTTTCAAATGATTCTTTTAGATTTACTTCCTCTCTATTTTTTCTGGGTAGTGAGAAATTGTTTAGGTTGTGTCATTATGTCTCATACAAAATCGCATTTGATTCAATTTTTCACTTGTCCATTACTCCTTTATAATACCTTGGCAACGGTTGCTATTAACAAACGAATAACGCCCTTGAGCGTTATGGAGGGCATTATGTATCATAACGCCCGCTGAATTGTTATTTTCTGTAGTTCAGTAGATTAATTACTCAGAAGAGATGTATTTATAACTGTACATAAAAAACGGACAAATTTTTTTTCCCAAATAGAAATTACAATTTTCAAATGTTCCTGAAAAATTACTACCAAGTTTGAAGTTCTGTGAGTTGACCGATGATAAACTCTTCAATGTGCATTCGGTTTCGATCTAAACGTCTACATTTTCTTTTTCGGAAACGGAATGGGCTTTCATTGTAGCAATTTTGTTTTTCGGTGAGATACCTTCTTCAATATAGCTCTCCGCTACTGTACTACTCTTCCATTTCCATGTGATTTTATTGTTCCAAAAGGAGCACTTCCTTGAACAAGAAGCGTTCACGACGTTCGGCGTAGACAATTTCCAGTTCAACCTTCTGAGTTTTCCGAATTAAGGTATTTCCCCGTGTGGTGGTCGGATTAGAATAACCCCACGGTAAGTCCTGTCTGTCGTAGAAGGCGACTAAAAGGACGCCAATAGGTGGAAGATGGTTAACGTCATCGCCCGGTGCGATACCACCACATCAACCAAAGGCACTATGAAATGGGTGTACTTACCCGTGTTTCAGTAGCTGGTTGATGTTCCGGTCAACCCAACCCAATTTCCTTTTCCTTCCACGCCAACCTCCCTTCTTTATACAGAATACGCGATGATGAGTTCTCCTCGAGTAAAATTATCCGGAAGTAGAATACCTCTCCATTCGGATTTCCGAGCGAGAGGTGCTAGAGGGGGTTCACCATCGGCTGAAAAAGTCCTCAAGATAGACCTATGTAACATCCGAGGTCTAAGCAAGAACATCAACGATGTCCATCGACACCTCCACATTGAAAAGCCAGACATATTGGCTCTTACTGAGACACAGGTCAATTCATCCACCAATACGATCTATCTGCTCTGTCCTGGGTACGAACTCCACACACGTTTCAGATTCAAGGGAGGTCTCTGCCTCTACTCTAAAACGAATCTCTTATGTCAACGAGAAAAAACTCTGGAACCAAATAAGTTTGATTTCATGTGATTCAAACTCGATAGCCGGAAACAGACCAAATACCTTTGTTGTCTCTACTTATCACCAAAAAATCCATCCTATGGAAAGCTCTTCGAATTCTTGTCTCTGAAGCTTGACCAAATTCAACAGAACCATCCAGCAGCAGAAATCATCATCATGGGCGATTTCAATGTACACAACACTGCTTGGCTCGTAGACTCTAACAGAACGGATGAAGCTGGGTGACAAGCCGAAGCTTTCGCCATCACTCACGGCTTAGAGCAGCTTATCAGAGAACTAACACGAATTCCCGATGCCAATAACCAATCAGCTAACATACTTGACTTATTCCTCACTAATAATTCAGCACCCTACACCATAGATGTACGAGCTCCACTTGGCAATTCTGACCACACACTCATCTCCACAACCTGCACATTTTTCATTCCATCAACTGCTCCGGCACCCCCACGTCTTATATGGCATCACAATTCAGGAGATTGGGACGGTCTCCGCATGTTTTTCTCCGAGTTTCCTTGGCATAGAGTATGCTATGACACTGACGACCCTTCACAGTGTGCTGCGGAAATATCCGAGATCATCATGCTCCGAATGGACACATACATACCTCATTTTTCGAAAAGATCATCACCTTCGAAACCCTGGTTCAACAAAAACTGTTCTAAAACTGTTGCCTTGGAACAAACAGCCTACCACCGCTGGCGCAAAAACCCTAACCTCGCGACTAGAGCAGAATACGTTGATGCCAGGAATAACTGCAGCCAAACAATAGATGCTTCGGTAGGAACATACAATGCCAAGATAAGATCGAAATTCATAGATTGCCCACATGGCTCCCGTTCGTTTTGGTCCCTTGCTAAAGCGGTCGGAAGAAATTTCACTAAAAGTTCATTTCCACCACTGTCCAAATCCGACGGCACATTAGCAACAACATCGCAGAAGAAAGCAAATATATTTGCAGAGATGTTCGCAGCAAACTCTACATTAGATTCCCAAGGAAAACTGGTGCCAGACATTCCACCCGTTGAGAGTCGAATCCCCGAAATCGTCTTCCATCAACGCACTATCAGACGAATTTTGCTTGGTCTCAAAACGAATAAGGCTAACGGTCCTGATGAAATTCCACCCATAATCCTCAAAAAAATGTGCACCAGAATCAACACCGATTCTCTGCAAGTTGTTTACCATCTCGTGAAGGTCGGGTATTTTTCCAACATGCTTGAAGACAGCTAGAGTCCAACCAATCCCCAAAAAAGGGAACAAGAACCTGGTCTCAAAACGAATAAGGCTAACGGTCCTGATAAAATTCCACCCATAATCCTCAAAAAAATGTGCACCAGAATCAACACCGATTCTCTGCAAGTTGTTTACCATCTCGTGAAGGTTGGGTATTTTTCCAACATGCTGGAAGACAGCTAGAGTCCAACCAATCCCCAAAAAAGGGAACAAGAACCTGCCCAACAACTACAGGCCTATTGC